GAAGTTTACATTTTTCCTAATCTGAAAATGTACTTCTGACAGATACTAACCTCTTCACACTTTTCTGCCCATCCTCCCCACTTCCAGTGCACATTTTTTTTGTTAAAAGTGAAGTTATCATGAGTGGAAGTACATAAGGGAGAATTACTGCACCTGGAAGTTGTGTCACCCTCTTATTGGTGTTAAGCTTTTGTGATGCGAAGATGTTATCATGTATCATTGCAGTTCACATCAAACACATAAACTTCAGTGGTAGTTACCTCATGGTCAGTAATACCCATGTCTCGTAGGCAGACACGAGAATAAGATAGCACTCTACGTGCAGAGGTTAGTATCTATCAGAAATACATTTTTAGATTATGAAAATGTTAACTTCTGGTTTATATTTGACCATAACCTTAAATATTTTGGCACAAATAATAATTGAATGTTTTAAATGAGAGCAGTAAGAGACAAAAATGCAGAATGTGACCTTTTACAAAATGAGCTTCATTAACATTTGAATGACCATCTTTAAAGTCCAAGACACCAGCAGTCTTTACTTCAGACAAGTAAAAGCTTTATTCTTTTAGTTTATATATCTGTGTGTATTCTTTTTTGGAAGCTTTCTTTTTCGTGATAACTTTCTATCAGTAGATACCCATCTTAGGCACATCAACTTCAGTTGCATTTATAGCACTTAAAATGCCTTTTTTTTTACTTTGCAATAATAAGTAATAGGACGTATTGGAATGTCTTATGATGTTTTAAATTTGTTTTCTAAGCTCTAAAACAAGAATTAGTCCAAAAAAAGTAGTTGAACTTTTCATCAAAGCTGTGTTTCTTCTAGTCCATGAGTTCAAAATTAGAGATAGCTAATGCAGATAGCCCTTGTGTAGCTTTGTGGAAATATCCACAAACAAACAAACAGTGAGTCTTTGTAGAAATTTTATACGCTAGGACAAATAGTTTTTTAAATATTTTAAACTTGTAGGATTTACTTTAGTGATAACTACATAAAGTGTGATATTAAGACTGTAATTTATGTCTGGTAAAAATACGAGAAACTGTTAAGTGTGAGCGAAAGTGTATCAAAGAATATCAAATACTGTGAATGGTCTAAATTTTGTATATGTTTTTAAAATACCAGAGCTGAAAAGTCAGGTTTAGTGAACTGCACTGACCTCTTTTGTTTTTTAAGTGCCATAATGTTAACTGTAAGTATATTTTTAGTTGAAATTTAAATCAAAACCAGTCTCTTTTATATGTACTTTTTTCTGGCTGATAACTTTTTAAGAGAAATAATTTTAATTTTTATCTAAACTTTATACTGACATTGTAAGGTATGTACCTAAACTAAAATAACCTTAATATTTCAAAAACCTAGTTTTTTTGTGTATCTGTCAGCTTGGCTGTGTATACCAGCATCCTTATCCCGTTACGTTTTAAATATTTGAGATTTCTACCTTTCCAGCTTCATCTAGGACTTAATGGTTCTTAACATTATACATGTGTAAACTGTAAGCGATGTGAAATTTAGTAAACACAGATTATAAAATGAAACTTGTATCACAACCAGCAAGAAACTGCAGTTTTTAACAGTATCAACTCTCATCAGCTTAGCTAGGTTGATGATAGTGTTGTATAGTTAAACAGTATATACTGTTATTTGCATGTAATCTGTAAGTTTAATTATTTTTTTAGGTACATCTTGTAACTTTAAAGTAAATTTTGTTGGTTAATAATGTATTTTAACAACAGTACATATATTTTTGGGTAAATTTTGCAGTTAAGTGTAATAATGTTAGACATAATTTCTCATTTTTATTCATGGTATAATTAATTTTCTGATTCTGTTACCTCAGTCTCAGGAAGTTTCTATGGTTCAGATTCTTCTTGCATTTGGAGCTCATCTGAATTCTGTAAACAGTAGACAAGAAACCCCTCGACACTTAGCTGCAAACCTCAAGGGCTCAAAGAGAGATCTGATACTGTACACGCTACACGCAGTGGGTGCAAAACGATGTGTTTGTAAACGAGATACTTGCAACAGTGGATGCTCCCCTGATGGTGAATTTGATGGAAAGCCTTCCAGTAATGCAGATGTACAAAGAAATTTTTCTTGTAAATATTTCACTTGTGTATTATTCTGTAAATATAAGGTGCAGTTCTTTCACATCTTGCATTTGCTAGTGTAGTTGATAAAAGAATTTGAAGCTTTATACATAAAATTGATATCGAATACAGATATTCCAGAGAAAAGTTTTAATATTTTGTGAAGTAGGGCTTAAAATATTTGTGAGGAAATGTTAAAGAACTTTTAATTAATTTCCAGTTTTCATTGGTTTACAACTTTGTAACATACTTAATGTTGTATGAAGTATGATGAAATAGCTTTTTGAGAATGATTCTTTTTTTGTATGTGCTTGTACAGTGTATGATGATCTCCTTGGTGAAGCCGTTGTAGCTGCAGCCTTGTCAAAAAGTTCAAATACTGAGGTTAGTTGTGCCAAATTCACTGTGGATGCTGAAGATGAAGTAGATTTAGGAGAGCCAGTACGAAAAAGATGTCGACTTCTGTGTCTAGATGGAGGAGGAATTCGTGGTTTGATCATCATTCAGATGTTAAAAGAAATGGAAACATTAGTTGGATGTCCTATAACCAAATGCTTTGATTGGATAGCAGGAACAAGCACCGGTGGAATTCTGGCTCTAGCTCTAGCTCAAGGTATGCTTTTAAAGGTTGCTAATTTTAAAGTTATTTGAATGTTGAAGAATTATTCCATGTTATGATAAGCATTATAGTTAATGAGTCTAAACAAAAAATATTTATCTCAAAGTCTTTAGATTCAGTAATGATTTTCTGTTTAGTGTTTATTTGTTTAACTCCTTTGGTATGAGTTTGGAAATTTAATTGCAGTTCTTTCACAGTTACTGTCATAAAACATGGGGATTTCAGTATTGTGTGTTAATGTACTATGAAATCAGATTTTTTTTTTAGTATCAGCAAAATTAAAACTATGTCAATCTTTTTAAATATACTTATTTATATTAAATCTGTCCCACTACCCAGCTTACTTGATGGTAACCTTAAGCTTATTTACAGTATTGGAAATAATTATGGTGATACAGATATGTGAATCACAAACAATTAGTAAATTCACCGAAATGTTTATTGTTAGTACAATACATTATTACAAAAATTACAAAAGAAAATCAATATTGTTAGTACAATACATTATTACAAAAATACAAAAGAAAATCAATATTGTTAGTACAATACATTATTACAAAAATACAAAAGGAAAAGCAATATTGTTAATACAATACATTATTACAAAAATACAAAAGAAAAGCAATATTGTTAGTACAATACATTATTACAAAAATACAAAGGAAAAGCAATATTGTTAGTACAATACATTATTACAAAAATACAAAGGCAATATTGCTTTTCCTTTGTATTTTTGTAATAATGTATTGTACTAACAATATTGCTTTTTCAGTACAATATATTATTACAAAAATACAAAAGAAAAGCAATATTGTTAGTACAATACATTATTATAAAAATACAAAAAAAAAGCAAATAAATTGTGTACTACTTTACTGTAGATATACATTGACCATGATATTGTTCTCCAGTTTTAACTTGTGTTTATTGTTTGAACTTTGATGGCCATTTCAGCCTTTTGGTTTGATCTCTCTTGAGCAGTTATTTTTGAGTAGCTACAAATCCACTTAGACCACTTTGTGTTAATGTATATCTTCATGTTTTTGAGGTAACATTTACATCTGTGTTTCCAGCTGGGTCATTGACAAGACCTTTGTTGAATTGTCACATGTCACATTTAAAGTATACTGTCAGTTGCTTAACATCACTTTTAAAGAGCTTGGGCTTTCAACCTCAAACTGTTCTGTTATCAACAGTACTGTCTTCATGATTTACATACACTTACCTACTGAAATACATAATTTTGCTTCAATCTGTCAGGTGAAGTAGTCTTTCACCAGCCAAAACATTAATTTCTACACATCTGTCATGTGGCTTTTCTGTCCTCATAGCCATGAATCTATTCAACATACTACTGCTTTGAAAGGTATGACTAGTTATACTTGCAGAGGCATTATGATGATGTGGTGTTGCCTGAGTGGTTGGATAACAGCCAATCACAGAGTAAACTATGAACACATGACTGTACTCTGGCTCATTTAATTTTATACCCATTTACTTGACTGTTTTACTAATTATTTCTAGTGCTGTTTTTCTCTCTGTGTGTTTATATAGATATTCTTATAAAACACAGTTGTTACATGGTCCTTCATAATTTTTATTTACAGTTCTCAAAAGGTACCTATTCTGTGCTGCACATGTACATTGTTTGTCCAGTTCTTAACTATTTGTATATTTGGTGTGTGTTTTTTTAATTACATTCAAATATAAACCTGGTGTGAACTTTATATAACTTTTTAGTGTAGTTTTATTAAATGATCAATTCTAAAGAGTAACCTGTGAAATTACTAAACTGATAAATATCATGAATGAAGTACTTATGCCTATTTTATACTTTATTATTTAACTTTTCATCTAGATATGTGTTTATGTGGTGTTTTAGTACACTGATTTTTAACAGAAAAGTTTGAACTATGCTCAATAAGCAGATTTTAAAAATGTTATGAAGACAAAATAAATAGCATGGGTGGGATAGAAGAACAATCAAGGAAGCGAATAAGTAAAATAAGAGTTTGCTGGGATTTTACTTATCAGTTACTGATTCTGTTCATTATGGTCTGCAACTGACTTTTTGAATAGGTCAGAAGAATATCTGTACAAAACGAGACAGAAATAAGAATAATGATGATACCACACTCTTAGGTCAGAGTCCGTAATGCAGTATCCCAAAATTCTTAAATTAGCTGCTTTCCCTTTATCTGTACTTAAAGGAGGTAAATACCTTACTCATACTAACTTGTACAAGTCTTTGTACCACCCCTTGAAGCATCACTTTAGGAGGACATGACACAGAAACTGGGCCAAGCAAGTGAAAGTTGCCATACAGAACAATTATGATATATCATTCCTTGAGCTAAAATATTAGTGCAATTTTACAACTTTTGTACACTTGTTATGTAAGATGTCACTAACTACATGCAGAATACCTGCATGAAATTTAGAAAACTTTGTCTTATAATGCCCAAATAAAAATATATTTCACTTATTATATGTATCCGGTAGCTTATAGTTTTGTCATTTCAGGTGTAGAGATGCATTTTCTTTATAACTTAGAAGAAACTTGTAGTAGTCCTGTCAGTTCAACATTAATTTTCTTTTCTCAGTTAGATGAAGCTTGTTAGTCTCATATTAATTTAGGAGTACAGCTATAATCTCTGTATCAGTTGGAAGAATGGCAGTATCCAACAGTTTGATTGTTTTTTTATTTGCTGCTGAGCTATAAAATGAATTACAATTCGGTGTTGTGAGTATTTATATAAATCCATCTTTTTGTTTTTGGCTAGTTTTTGTTCATATCATATTCATAAAAAATATGGTGGGTCATTGTGTTCAGAGAGAATTATGAAGAAACATCAAGTTTTTAAACTTTAACAAATGGTTTGACATCAAAGGTATTGTCGTCTCTAAGTGACAGTGTTGTAAACAACACTAATGATTTTAAATTAGAAAAAATTTATTTTGTAATACAGCTTTATTTTTTTAGGTGATACATTGTCAAAAAACATATATTTTTTTTAGTAAGTGTGAAAAGTTTTCACATTGTTAAGGTAAAAATAATATATATAGATAAATTTTCATACACAGGTGCAATTTTGGAGGAATACAATATCATGTATATTAAAAAAAATTCTTTGACAAAAACATATGCTTGCAAGTATGAGCAAAATAAAAAATAATTAAAAACAAAAAACTTTTAATTTCTCTAGTGCAACCCTTGTTTTCATTCTACAAAGATTGTCAGAAATAAAAGTTGACTATGGTTTTCATAATGATAATTGTGTATGTTAATTTGAAACCAAAGTTCTAGGACCTCTTTCATAACATTCTGGTTTTGAATGATCATAAATGTTTATGAATATTTAGTAGAAGCAAAGAGTTAGATTATTGAACCAGGAAAAAATCAAATGCTAATAGTTTTTAACAAGTTATTACTCATTTAATTATTTTTTATTGTGGGGGTGGAGTTAACCTGAATAATGCAAAAATGTTTTTTCTTTTATTTTGCATTGAAATATCTAAATGGTAAATCATTCCAATGGTTAGTCTTATGTCTAATTTGATACGTACTTAAATTGCACAATTACTGGTTTACGTGTTTACATTAAATACCAAGTATATTTTTCTACAGAGTAATTGTAGGGTATATTATTGTGTAGATTGTGACTGTAATTTTCATTGCTGAGGAACATGTGTTTTTACGCAACATAGGAAAAAACCCCGATGAATGTCTGCAGCTTTATATTCGTTTGAAAGACAAAGTGTTTGTAGGTTCTCGTCCGTATGATTCCGATGCTTTAGACAAATTCTTGCAACAAGAACTTGGAGAAAACACACTTATGACTGATATAAAGGATCAAAGGTACTTGAAAAGTTAAAAACTAATAAACAGTAAAGGCAAAGAGAAAGTATAGTTGCGTACATTATAACATTGATACGTTTTAGTGAATATATGTAATTCTCCTTTGACTAATTAATGGTTTAAATGTTTGACATATGTATAAGTAATCTGTGTGTGTGATTTATTTGATTACAAATATAATTGTTTTATATTGTAACATGAAGAAAAAATGTGCCTGTTTCTATATAAATAATACGCTTGCATTTGTCTGTCCAGAATTTTTCTCGCATATTTCTCCATCAAATGCTACAAATCTTGTATCGTTAGAAAGGCCTTTGTCCGAGGAGTCCAGATTGCATACTGGCTTTTCCATTCAGAATCACCTTACCTGTTTTTTGCTTTGTCAAGCTTTTGTAAGGCAATGAGTATCACACATGTTTGTACAATGTCATTGTCATCATGTGATGACTGGCTTCGATTTCAACTTTTGTTTTTTTATTGGCAAAGTATTTGACAAAAACATAACCTAACCCACATGTAATTTCCTAAAAAAAATGAACATTACACTAAATACAATTTCTGTGGTCTTTCTCGACTTATTTAGGTCTAAAATATGTAAGTGCAGTTCAGATATTTCTACATGCTCAACTAAATTAGCCTTCATTAACAACTTTACATTTACATTGTAATAATTTAGCTTCAGTTCATTTCATAGACTGCTATAAACACCTTTTAGCTACTTTTTTCTTTAGCAAGGGTTTTATTCTTCATATATGTGAGTTTCTTTGTTTCAACTCGTAAAGCCATGTCATACACTGATTTCTCACAACTGTTTTATACTCTGTACACTATTATATATACCATTACTATACTTTATTGTTTACTTTACGTGTAGTTTTATTAAATAAAGTTACGTCTATGTGAGTTTGTTTGTCTGACTGTGTAAAATTTTTGCAAATAGACCAGGATTTACTGATCTAACACATAATGCCTTCAAAAAAGCATAGCTTAAATTGGTGTGCTTGAAACTGATAGAATAAGGAAAAATTAAAGCAAAGGGCATGAAAACTACCATAAATGTTTTGCGTGACATGGCTAGTTTTTAAATAAGATTCTCAATGTATTAAAATTATTACTTTACATATAGCTGTATCATATCACTTTTTTTATGTTGTGGTCTTTTCAAGAGTTTAGAATTTTCTCGTGTAATAAAATAGAACTGGAATACTTCTGTTTTCTTTAATATTTAAGATACTTTTAATAGTAAGACATTGTTGAAAATTATCTCTAGGAAACAAAAGGAATTTTGTGTTTGATTTTTATTTTTAGAAAGTTTTTAAGTTATAAACTTCCACAAATATTGCTAGATTAAATGTAAATTGTGAATGCTGAAGAAGTTTGTGAGATTTAATGGATTCACAGTAGATGATGTTAATGATTTTTTGGTAAAAGCTCTAATGTTTGTTTTACCTGTAAGAAGAACATATATTTAAATTGAGTATGAACATATTTGAAATAGGACTCTATGAAAACATAAAAGTGTATGTAAGAGTATGTGTACGGGTATGAACATTGTGAAAAGTTATTTTCTTACTTGGAATTCACATGTAGTGCGATGCTGTACGAAGCCATTTTAAAGTGGTCAGGCCATTTCCATTTCTAAGGTAGTCTGAAGGCATGACCCCCAAAAAATGTTTTTGAAAATTTAATGGTATGAGAATGAATTTTGAGATAGTTTAGTTAACTACAAATACATAAACTTTAGTAGGTAAAAGTGAACATAGAATGTGTTTTTTGGCATGCATCATAAAGAAGCTAGGATATACTGTAAAATGTTGTGTTTTTCATATAATAAAATTAACTCAGTTTTTCCTTTAGCAATCTCATACTAAGTTTAATTTTTATAAATTTTATTTATTGATACTTCATTCTTAATTTTAAAGACACAGTCCACAATGATCCGTTTAAAAAAAAATTATTATAGTGATTTCTATATTACCAGTTACAATTTTATACAGATTAATTTCTTTCAGTAGGCTTACTGTTATTTATTCTTCAGAGTTATGATCACTGGAGTTCTAGCCAATAGGCATCCTGCTGACCTTCATCTCTTTAGAAACTACCCATCTCCGCAAGCAATACTAGGAAAAAAAGAAAATAGCCCACAGTTCGAAGAACCCCCTTCGTTTAAAGGCATGTAAAATATTGTGGTGTTTTTTGTTGTTTTGTTTTTTACAGCTCAACAATTAATGTTATAAGATGTAGATTGAAGTATGAATGATTAGAGTTAGGTTTGTTATGAATTTTGCGCAAAGCTACTCGAGGGTTATCTGTGCTAGCCGTCCCTAATTTAGCAGTGTAACACTAGTGGGAAGGCAGCTAGTCATCACCACTTACCACCAACTTTTGGGCTACTCTTTTACCAATGAATAGTGGGATTGACCGTAGCATTATAAAGCCCCCATGGCTGAAAGGGCGAACATATTTGGTGGGATGGGGAATCAAAACCACGACCCGCAGATTGCGAGTCGAGCGCCCTAACCACCTGGCCATGCCGGGCCCTAGAGTTAGGAGAAAAATTAATGTAGGTACAAGTATGAATGACTAGAGTTAGAATGAACTTGAATACTGAAATAGCTGCTATAATTGAAATGTGAACATTACAGAACAAAAAGTGTGGCAAGCAGCAAGAGCATCTGGTGCAGCTCCAACGTACTTCCGTGCACACGGTCCTTTTTTAGATGGTGGACTTATAGCAAATAATCCAACACTGGATGCCCTCACAGAGATTCATCAATTGAACCAGGCCTTCAAAAGAACTGTAAGTGATAATGTATTTTGAAAGTGACGAGTCGACAGACTTCCACAAAGTTTAATCTTGTCATACAATGTAAATCAGTTGTTTTGTGATTATTTACAAATACAATAAAATATAGATTAAATTATAAATCCAATACAGTACAATTTATAATTTAACCAAGAGCTCTTAACTCATCCGTGTTAATATTATTAATAATTTAGTATTTTACCTAAACATTTTTAACTTAGATATCACAGTAATGCATTTTGTTACCGTAAAAATGTTCTATACTTATATAGTTAATTTTAAAAAAAAATTCTTACAAGCACCTTAAATTTAGTTACATTGTTTTAAGTTTTATCATTAAGTATGAAATATTAAATATTTTTTGTGCAAGGCAACTACAATGTTTTATGCATAATCTCGTTTTTAGCTGTTGAAATTTTATGTTATAATCCCTCTGTTCTGTGAGGATAAATATCATTGTTTATTTGTTAGTAATAACTTTTATTCTATATAAATAATGATATTATGTATATTAATAAATATCTCGCAGGAAATATGTTTAGTAAAAGGCACCTGTTGTAAAATGTATCATTTTTATTATTATATGATATTACATTTTTTATGATATTACTCTCTAATGAAACAATTGACTTTAATATAGTTGAATAAGTATCAAAATTTCACACTAAATTACCAACAGTATCAATTAGAAATAAATAATGCTTAACATTTTTTCAACTAACAGATTTTAATGAACATAAATCTTAGTGTTTTTGCCAAGTACTTAAAATGCTGTTTCCAGTTTCAATTTTTATTAAGCTGTAAATCTCAATATCTTATAATGTCCACCATTTCAATTCGCAAATATTTCCAGTTATTATTATTTAAACATTCTTTATTATGAATATACAATTTATAATCTTATTTGATTTTCATATAAAGTGAACAATTTTGAATTGTTTTTTTTTTTCAGATTAAACATATCAGTTTTGCAGTTGCAAACTCTGCAGAAAAAAAAACCTTCTGAATTGTTGTTTTTCATAAGACATACAGTTTCATAGGGGACGTTCTCATGAGTTCAAATTCTCTTTGAATGTGTTTCTATACTTTTTATAACTTATCAGTAGCTTCTTTTAGAGATAGAATGCATAATGAAACAAAATAAAAGTTATTATAACAAGTTTAGAGTTTAACATTTATTGTGAGAAGTTTGATCTGGCAGTAAGATCCATTTACATGCTCTGTTGTGTATGCTGTTTATAAATCAGTATCCATCACAAAGCAGAATCTGGTAGCAAGCATCTAGATCTTTAATATGTAGAATCAAGTTCGGCCTAGTAGTTAACATACATCTTTTTACCACTAAAAAAATAAAAATCAACCTTTACACTTTGGACTTTGGGTGAATTATAAGAGTAACAGTCAGATTTTCCTATTCAATTTGAGTAGCCCAAGAATTGGCAAGGGTAAGGGGGAACAGTTGTCTCCTCCCCCTTTTTTTTGTGACATTCACGACAATTAAGGCAGAACTTATTTTTTCCTCCCATATCTCACACATGGGTGTTGTCTAGTTGTCTTTCCTCCTCCAGTCTGTCAGTCCAAAACTAGGGCTAGCTAATATAGATAGCTTTTTTTTGTAGCCTTGCTCAAGTATTGAAAATAAACCTTTAATTTTCTTTTATTAATCATAAGGTCAAAAATGTATCCTAAACATAATTATCTAATTTATTATGAAATTATTGCCAGTTTTGTTACCTATTCAAAGGTAACTTTTTAGCTTATCTTCATCCTTAGGTTGTTCTACAGTTTGAAATTATTTATGACAAGCTGAAATACCTGTCAACTGATGAGGAATGTTTAAACTTAATTAAAACAATGTAAGTTTGACAGCAATCGTATACTTCAAAGTAATAACTTGAACATAAACATTATCTCAAAATTTTGAAATTATAACAAAGTTTGTTCCTAAACAACATTTGCAGTTTGCTTTCCATCTACTAACAATTATATATTTTGAGATGATCCCATCCTTGAACACCCTACATCTTACTGACCATAAGTAAAGCATGGTTGTTTGAGAAACAACCCAGCAACTTTCATACTTTGACCTTGAATCCATTTACAATATTCAACATTGTCTAAAGCATCAACCTGCCAAGATTGTTTGAGATTAACTGTTTTTTAGCTGTTTTTGTGGTTTTATGTGTGAGATACGTATGTGTTGAGTGTTAATCATGACGTACCATGTCATTTTTTAATTATATAACTTTGCATTATTGACATGTTAAATTTACATATTATGACCCAGTTGTTTTGAGTGTTCTAATTATCAATTTATTTCATTATCTTTTCTTTCAGTGAGTAATTTTATGTTCAGAATGATTTCATGTCCTCATTACGAACATTTACGATGATCACTCTTCATTACAGCTGACTTGAAATAATGGTAGATTTACGCACCCGTGTAAATGCTACACCTTGGTACCTCTTTTGTCACAAAAAGCTGAGCTTCATGAATCCTGTAAAAGTGAATAATTCTAACGTGATAAAGGTTTGCTTATAGCAAACATGAATTTTCTTACAGCATGCATTGAACGTAATTAATGTGGCTATATTATATTTAGACTGAATATCCTTTAGCTGTATTAAATCATCGTTTTTTCCACTCACAGAATCAGAAAGACAAGATAGAAGAATTAGAAGTAGTGGTTTCTCTTGGTACTGGTTTGATACCAGTTTTACCAGTGAATGACATTGACTTGTACCGACCTGACAGTATCTGGGGGACAGTGAGAGTTGCAAGAGGAGTTACTGCTTTGGGACAGTTGATTGTAGACCAGGTTAATTATTTATACTTGGATAAGTTTTTAATACAAATATTTTATAAATGAAGAGCTGTAAGAAGTAAACCCCAAACGTATCTTTATTGTAGAGTTTATTTTGTAGTACAAGGAACTATCCTGTACATTCTCTGGTGTAAATTCCTTTTATCCTTTCTCTTCAGAATATTTTATTACACTCTCTCAGATGATTTTATCAGATATATTTCAGCCTCTCAAGTTTTCCCTTTTATCAGATTTAAAAAATTTTTTTTTAGATCCTAAGTTTTCTCTGGGATTCTAAACAAATGACAAGTATACTTAAATTGAACTTCAACTTGACATATCTTTCTCTCTTTAGTTCTAGTATTTTAAATTTATTAGAATTGCCATTTAGGAAATGAAATAAAAGGACATTGATATTTACAATTATCTTTTTTGTACCCTCCATTTTATGTCATAATATCAATCCCTCAGTTGTTGTTTTTTTCCATCAAAATAGGGCTACGAGGATGAGAAGCCTCAATAGAAGCGATTGAAAGGTTGCAAGACTTGTTAATTGATATATAACTTATTCCACTCATTTAACTGTGGATGATTAAATACTTTTCTTTTCTTGTAGGCCTGGCATGTCCAGGTGGTTAGAGCACTCAACTCGCAATCTGCAGGTCGCAGGTTTGAATCCCTGTTCCACCAAACATGCTCACCCTTACAGCCATGGGTGCATTGTGATGTGAGAGTCAATTCCACTATTCATTGATAAAAGAGTAGCCCAAGAGTTGGCGGTGGGTGGGGACTAGCTGTTTTTCCCCTAGTCTTTCAGTGCTAAATTAGGGATGGCTAGTACAGATAGCCCTCATGTAGCTTTGCACAAAATTCAAATCAAACCAAACCTTTTCTTGTATTTCATTAGAAAAACCTAAATTTGTATATTTGTAACTCGGCTGAAAACCTGGTGGCCTTATTTATGATATTCATCTTCATTTAATTTTTTTTTTAGTTAAGTTTCTTTATG